TGAACCGCCATCATAACCTCAAAGAGAAGGCCATCTTCTATTTTCCCTCCACCAGGAGAGAGAGGAAGAGAGAGAAAAAAAGAGAGAGAAAAAAACAAAACTCGGGATACGCATTGCACTGGCAAATAGCGAGGCAAAAATGGAGGAATAGAAGTCCGAAAATGGCCTTGAATTTCAAAGAAACGAAGCGCCAAGAAGTGCCTTCGAAAAATCGAATACAACTGCCAAGTATTTTTATTTCTTTCTTTTTTTTTTTTTACCAAGAAATACCAACACGTTTTCTATCCTTCACACATGATCCCCAGTCTCCCACACATCGACGAAATGCTTTTACCTCTTGGCGCACACTCGAGCAAAACGTGGAGACGCACGCGCGTAAAAACAGAGTGAAACGCGCGAGAACTTCTCGCATGACAGTAAAAACAACACGATGATATTTACATTTTTTTTTCTCTCACAATTTTCTTATTCCATTCGCAAAGTACTAATTGAGAGGAACTGCGCGGCCTGTGATTCGATTCGGATTACCACCGTCCTCTCGTGAAAATTCAAATATCTTGGATTTTTATTGCATTTGGAGTACTTACGTTTTTTTTTTTGGAGCGACGAGTGGCAGGAAAAAAAAATCAGAGGAAGCACCAGAGCTCCAAAAACCACTCAGACACGTCTCTGTTCCCACTCCTAAGCTCAACGTCTATTTAATCCCTCGCTTGTGTCTCTGTGCTCAATTAATTCCGTTCCTTACTCTCAATTCTTTTTCCTCGTCCAACTTAACGTACCGATGTAAACACACAGAACACACTCACAGTTCGCCAGCACTCACACCGACGACACATATCGTTTTTTTTCTATTACATAAAAAAAGACCCGAAAAAGCCCTCCCCCCCCCTCAGAAACAAAATTCCTCACCAGCTCCCAAAATGAGAGTCGAAAAGAAAATGAAATGGAAATAAAATTTCCGAGAAATCAAACAAAGCCACTGTCTCACCGCACGAATGCGTTTGTTTTTCGTTTTCACGTACCACAGAATGCCGGGAGGGGTTTTCAAGAACCCGCAATTTCACTATCACACACTCAAATCCACCTCTCAATTCGCGACGAAAACAAAGATGAGAAAAAAATAAAAATAAACAACGTAACCAATGAAAATTTGACGAATACGACTGAACACAAAACGCGCGTTGATACTTGCAAAATTCAATACATACGACGTATATGCACACAGATATGAAATTATCAAGATGGCGTGTTAGATTGCCCCTGCATCCGATCAGGTGGAAAATGCCGGAATGTGAATTGGTAAAAATATTTTGGATTAAACAGAAAAACACGGGATTGTGGTGTGTGCCGAGAGGCTCCACGGCCCTAAGTGGTTTGACGTTAAGAAGTGAGCAGATGGGACACGGAGTGGGGATAGAGGGAGGAAAAATAAGTGGTGGGGGAGGGAGGGTTATGGCGGGCGGGTGAGGTTCGGTGTTGAGAAGAGGGGAAGAGAAAAATATGAAAGACAGAGATGGGGATAAACTGGAGGAAATTGCAAAGAGAGAATGAGACGGAGTATTTTGCGATGCGGTAAAATAAAAATGTTGAGAGAATATTATACGTGAGAAGCCAAAGGGTGGGGCAGATGGGGTGGGAGATCACTGTTGTAGTGGGGGTAGCTGTCGAGGGGAGATGAGGGGCAGCAGGAAAGCGGTACAGGGGAAATTTCTATCGCTCCCTCTTGTGCCATTTCACTCGGCAATATTCGCCGCTCCTCGTGCGCTTCCGCCTGTGCGACCCGCGCAAATATACACCACTATTATTTCCTTTTTCACAATTTTTTTCTTTTTCTCCTTGGTTAAGGCAGAGGGAGGGACGCTTTTTTTTGGTTTTACCGAGGTGGGGGGGACGTTTTTTTTTTTTTCATTTCTTTGCTTTTTTCCATTTGCCGGGAGGTGGGATTGAGGGTTCTTTCTTCGGTTTTATGCCGCAGTTCGTACGAGGATAGTGCCGTTTGAAGAATTCATAAAAAATCAATACTTGTGGAATTATGGGAAAAGTCAGGGAGGGGATGGAGATCTACCGGTCGATCCGGATTCTTTGTATAGTTCGGCTGTTTGATGATTTTCAGGAAATGAGGGGAGTCTGATTAAATGGGATTAATTAATGGTGGTCGGTGGGGATGAGGAATCTTAAAGTTCAGGATGATTTTTGGGATTGAAGAGGTGAGAGAATTTCTTTGGGGGGTGTGCAGGATTTTTTCTGTGGGGAATTTCATGGGAATCTTTTGCTTCGATGATTTTATGGGAATTTTTTCGAAAATCGGTAATATTTGTTGGCCGAATCCGTTCTACTGCGCCGATCACAATTATTAGACTTTTTCATTGGATTTCGTACGTTTCATTGGATCAAGAAACGATGGGGTAGGGTTCAAGGACCCTCGCGGATACGCTCGAGAAGTATCGATCAGGTATAATAGGATTTGAGCCACGGAGAAAAATTTAATCCACATTTTTTTGTCATCAGTGTCGTCTCTGTTGACTGCTCCCATGAAAAACTCAATCGAGATAAAAAAAATAGTAAAATAAGTTGGGGTTTGCAATATTGAGGATAAAGTGCCTGGGTCTAATTGAAATTATAGGCCTGTGAAAAGTCTCTCTCGTTGGGGAATTAATCTATTGATTGTTTTTTCGAAAGTTTCTAACAGTACATACGAATTTAATGAGGTTAGATACACGATTCAGGTTGAATTAAGAGAGTCGGATTATTGCGGAAGCCTGAGGTTTTACATTCAGTCAGAATTTCGAATTGTCGATGGATTCAGTTTGAAAAGCGACAAGGAAAAATCTCTATTTTCAAAAGTATCTCAAGAAATATTAATTGGCGCAATTTATAATATAAATTTTATATTAAAAAAAATATAAATAGTACACGCGCTTTTTATTTAGTCATTATGAATTATGAAAGCCGATCCAATTGGCACACACAATATGATTTTTCAAATGTGATATTGAAATAATCGATTGATCATTTTTCTACGTTAAAAATTTTAATGTTGAAAAGGGAAAAATTGCAGCCATGGAAATGCTTTGAATGCCACAAAAAAGAAGAGATTTTTTACTCCCAGAAAAATCCCCAGAAATATCTCTGTTATTTTGAAATGAAAAAAAATTACGGTAAAAAGTACTTGCTGTTAAAAATTTTCCAATTGAATTACAGTGGAGCGTCTTAAAAATTTTATTATTTCCTGAATTGTCCTGAATTCTCAGGACTTCTTTTCAATTTGCAGTTCTTCAAGGATTATCAAATAATTTCTGGGAGTAAAAAATTAATTTTTACTGCAGAGGAAATGACAACTGGTACCGATCAACATACAACGAGATTGGAATGAAGGGAACGATGAACACCGATCAAACATGAATACATCAATTTCTTCGATTATTCTGCCGAACTAGCACAGGTCAAAATATCTAATCCTTGCTTTTGGCAGAATTCGTTAATTGGACAATTATAAGAAAATGGAGTGAGTAAAAAACATTAATTCAACGGCTGGTCCATGAACCTTGATCGCAACCGTTGAAGACATCATTAATATGGAAGCACTTGTTGAGCCCAAATCAGCAGGAGGGATGGGGATAACATGAATGATTACAATGAAAAGACCTTAGTATTGCATATTAAATAAAAAATATTTTAATGGATCATACACATCTGAGTTTTCTCAATGAAATCATCTGTCTCATTCTCCACACACCAATCAAATAATCTCCAGTCCAGATATCCATTTATGAGACGACATATCAATCTTCAATTTTGAATTCATTATTTACACTGTTAAAAAATTTCCACTGAATTTTCCGCGGTGAATTCCGGGAATTTTTATCGTGTCGCAATTCCACTGGAATTTCAGAACATCTTCGCATTGAGAATTCTGAATTTCGTGGAAAAATGAAACAGAACTGTTGATTTCCGTTCCATTTTTCCTGGGAATGAACATAAAACCGGAAAATTCTGGTGAATACACTCTGGAATTTAACCGGAAGTGGCACTGAATGCGATTTTGCTGGAAGAAGAATGAAATTTCCGATTTCACAAAAAATTCTATGTAATTTCCCACCGAACGGTCATATTGAATTGTAAATTTAAATAAATTGAGAAATTCTCATCTTCATGCCGGATAAAAATCTGTAATTCACCTGAATTTTCAGTGAAACTGTTCCATGTCCTCAACCCTCAAATCGCAATCAGTCCCACTGTCGCAAAAATGAATAATCAATTGTCCATGAAATTTCATTATTTTTCTAACAGTGTAGCCTTCTTGAAAATCACAACGAGGAAGCCATAATTTTGAAAATAATCGATATAAAGCGATAAAAATACCAGGATCTCCTCGATAAGTTGAATTTTAATGTATCTGGGTAATCAGACCGATTACCTTAGTACCTGAAGTGATAATTGACGTTGAACGAGGTCGGGAGTGCAGTGCCATGAGTCCCAACTCCATGGGACTTGTTATCCAAGCCATATGATAACAAAATATCCATTAAAATGACAAATTAACTAAAAAATCCGACAAATCGAGGAACAATATTACTCGAAATTCCCTCAGTACTCCATTTTCAAAACTAAAATCTCAGATTATCAGAAAGCCATAGTAAGCCTTAAAATAACATTTTCCTCCAGTGCATTTCGAATTCTCGAGTGCTGAAGGCCACCATCGTCTCGTTCTCCTCCATAACTGGCCTTCGCACATGAACAGACACATTTTACACACTCGCACACTTGCAATTGTTCGAAGGGCACTGAATAATTCTCGGATTTTTTATCATGAATCTCAAAGCGCTTTTGAAGGGACTTTGGAATCCACTCTCGAACACCATCCCCACGACAGATTTTCACCCAAAAAATTATTATTTATCGAATAAATGATAAATTGTGCAGATCGAATACTTTAATTTATCAAATTCTACCCCC